GTGCAAACAACTAAATTGCGTACACAACTTTACATCAGTTATCATAACTTCAATGATCTAATTTGCGCCTCCCTCGTGATTCGTGAAGCACAATAAAGGGCATATTATAAGGGCATAATACCAGCAAAAAAGGGCATAATTCCCGTGATCGCTTCGATCGAAACCTGACCAATATTCCGGTAGTGAGACATTGCCTGTGGTCACTGATCATGTTTTTATACGAACGATTTCGTGTGAGCTGTGAGGTAGCAAATACGGTTAGGCAAAATAGTCTGTAATTTAATATATGTCGTCTATGCGCTTAGTCTGTTTTATACTGTAGCCTATAAACACGTCTTTTCTTGGCGGAAGTAACCATATTTTTTCGAGAATGTGTTTTTTCCCACCCACTTTCAAAATTCGGCGCCCCATTTTCATTTTTGCGTCCCCCAAGAATTGCCAGCTGGGGGGCCATGGTCCCCCGGCCCCCCCTGCCAGCATGCCACTTCTCCTCAACAAAACTACTGATCTGCTGCTTCTTTCATCTCACTAGCGCCAGATGAAATGGCACCGTCTTTAAAACATTTTAAATTGGCTCTAGGGGTGGAATTATCAACAGGTTGTTGTTGTCCATCATTCAGCGTATTCGGAGTCTTGAACACGTTCATGTAGTGGCCAGGATTTCCTGGATCAGGGTAATGTGCTGGAACCTTACAGTATGTTGCCCCCACCCAACATATCTCCCGGCATCTGTTGCAAATGTCTTTGCATGCCTGTCAAAAATGCATGCAAAAGTGCCAGTATGCTTCAATTTCTTTAATTTCCATCCCGTTTGTACAAAATATCCCATAAACATAGAACATATCATTCTTGCAAATTGTATATGCTTTTTTGCTTTTTGGCGCGTAAATTACTTCACAAACCTGGCGCAAAAAAATTTAAAATTGTGAACTTTATTGTGAACTTTATTTAGTCACGGTGGACTCATCAGGATTTTACACACTTATGATAAAGTAACAAAGGAAATTAGATATATGATAAATTATACTATACATATTTACAAAACTACCTGTTTTTCATGAGTGCCGTGCATTAAATTGATAAAATTAGATAAAATATTTAAAAATTATTGAATAAAGTTGCTACAGTCAGACTTAAATTTATGTAAAGTACTAGCCTGTCTTAACTCAGTAGGAAGAGAATTCCACAGTACTGCACCGCTATAACTAAAGCTATTTTTCAAGTAATTAGTACGCGGTAGTGACAAAGCTAGTTTGTTACTGGTGTCTCTCAATGCATAATTTGTGATACTATTGCGATCAACAAACATATTAGAAAGATAATCTGGGGCAAGACCATTCAAGGATTTATACACCATGATAGCCTTGGTAAGCCTACGCTGAGATACAAGATTTTTCCATCCAAGACTTTCGAAAAGATAATCGGCATTTGTATCATAACTAGAAGATGTCAATACCCTGGCAGCACGATTTTGTAATTTTTGCAATTTGTTAACTAGATAACTACTGCAACTATCCCAGACAGCAGAGCAGTAGTCGAAATATGGTTGAACTAAGCACTTGTAAATAAGTTGCATTGTGGTAAAAGGAACATAAGGTCTAATGCGTTTTAGTGCACCAATACCGGAAGCAACTTTTTTACTCAGTTTCTCAATATGAACATTCCAGGATAAGTTCTCATCAATGTGTACGCCGAGTGATTTTGTATGAGAGACTTGTTTAACTGGAACGTTATTTATTACTAATAAAGGAGTAGATTGAAAAGTGTTTATTCTTTGGCGAGAGCCAATTAGCATAAATTCAGTTTTAGTCTGGTTTAAAGTAAGTTTGTTTGCTGATAACCATTCACTGACATTAGCAAGATCCTCGTTAAGATTATGATTAATTTCATGTATGTTATTACTTGCATATGTCAAATTAGTGTCATCAGCAAACATTCGTGCCCGAGAGTGTATTAGACAATTAGGAAGATCATTAATATAGATTAAAAATAAAAGCGGGCCTAATATAGTTCCCTGAGGAACCCCACATTGTAGTAATCGATTCGAGGAGAAATGACCGTTAACAAAACACTTTTGATTACGTTCATTTAGATACGATCTTAACCAGTTACCCGCAGTTCCCTTGATTCCATATGCATTAAGTTTGTTCAGCAATATTTCATGATCTACAGTGTCGAACGCTTTTTTAAGATCAAGAAACATTACAGCATTTACATTACCACTGTCAATATTATAAGCCCATTCGTTGGTAGCCTCAAGAAGAGAGGTGACAGTAGAATGTAAGCCTCGAAATCCCGATTGATAATTAGTTAATAATTCATTTTCAGCTATAAATGTATATAGCTGATCATAAATTACCCTTTCAAAAACCTTAGCCACAATAGGAACAATAGAAATGGGACGATAGTTATCAACGCAATTGCGTTTGCCTTGTTTGTATATAGGAATAACTTTAGCACATTTCCATTCGTTTGGGAATATGCCTGTAGTGATAGAACGATTAAAAATAAGACAGAGGGATTCTGCAATTAAGTCAGAGCATTCTGTAATTAACCTAGAAGATATTTTGTCTAAACCTGTTGCTTTAGAAGTGCTTAACGTGGACAGTAATGCGTAAACGGTTGGAATACTTATTTCCCTCAGTTGAAAAATAGCATTATTTTGGTTAGGTAAATAATCAAGGTAAGACCGATTGCTATAATTAAGATTAATTTTATCTGCAAGGTCTTGCTTTGAAAATAGGAGTCACTAGAGCTATTTTTAGAAAATTTGGAATTTTTCCAGTTAAAAACGTTGAATTATAAATATGTGTTAGAGGTTTAACAATTTCTTCGCCTATTGTTTTTATCATCTTGGCGGTTATTTCATCGTGGCCTGCGCTTTTATTTTCATTTATTTTATTAATTTCAGTCAGTAATTCATGTTCTGTTACAGGCTCAAAGAACATGCTTTCGACATAATAATACATAGAAATTCTACAGTGCAAAGTCTCTGAAGCCATTACTCCCACCCTCTCGCTTTCTCTGTGGGACGACAAACTGTCACAAAAAAGAAGGGATTAGGATTTTTGTAATAATTGGGTTGATATATAGAGGGAACAAACATGAACACAAAACATGAGCATTTTAGGAGGTCTTTAAAGCACACATAATTTCCTTGCTGCAGGGAAAAATCTTTGCAAGTGGAAACACTCATCAGTGATTTCAATATGTTCAATACAGAGAACCTCTGTGTTCCAATAGTAATGAATGTGTTTTGAAAAAGAAAATTTCTTGTTTGAAAGTGGTAGCACCAGGAAATTTCGCGGGAAAGATTGAAGCTTGTGCCCTCGTGCTTTCAACAAAAATTTTCGTCCTAAAAACTTTCATTATTTTTGTAGAATCTTATCCCAATATAAGCTCTAATCTTTGCCAAATGGACAACAACATGTTTGTAACAACTTAAAGAAAGCTGTGGATTGCATTTGTGGTCGAGATTCGATGTTTTTCAAGCTTGACTTGGCTCAAACTTTATGTTGTATTTCATACTCCATCTTGGTATAAATGTTGCATCGGCTGTATCAATTTGGTTAGAATTTGCTTGGAATACCTCTGGTTTCTCTTCTTTAAGGTATTTGGGATTATTTTTGCGTTGATCTATTGTGATGTATGAAATATATGTAAAGTTATATTGCTTTTTAATACAGGGTTTTATAATATAGAAATTTTGAATTGAAGATTCCCTTTCTTACGTTTTCGTAGCGCTTTGCATTGTGGTTATAGTGGTATCACTGATATTCAAGATGGCTTATTTTTTGTCCTAACCTGTGCAAGAACTTTAAAAAAAACTAGGGTCAGGTGTGTGTTAGTCATTATTTTTATTCGAGGCTGGTATCTTTAGCAGTGATTAGAGGTGTGCATCGGATCAGATTGGACGTTTATAATCCGACAATTGTCTAATGTTTAAAATCCGATCTGAAATTGTCTAATCCGAATCGGATCCGAATTTTGATAAAGAATTCCGATCCGAAGAATTCTTTAATAAAATAAATTTCTCATTCAAGTTGAAATATTTAATTAACCAAATAAATATAAAAGCAAGAAATAGATGTCAAGAAGCTGACAAAGTGACGTCCAATTGAAGTATCGAGCAAATAATGCAGCGACAATCACGATGATGCTTTTATAAATGCATAGATTAATTTTATTTCAAATATCGAAGTTTGATCTGACCACGAAACAACTTCATCAATCCGATCTGAAATTGAATATTTTAGTTCCAAAATCCGAATGAATCTGTTTCGGATTGGAATCGCACACCTCTTCAACTTTCGAAATTCAACTATTTTTGCCTGTGC